AATCTGACTTGCTTCTTTATAAAGCTTTTATAACACAAGGTAATACTTTCTAAACTAGGTGCCTTTTCTTATTTTTGGCTGTGATGCTTTTAGTAACTATTAACCCCCTAAACAGACATGAAGTCCAACTGGTTTGTGACATGTTTTGCTGCCTCACTCTGATTAAATGTTTTCTATTAACGCCGATGTTGTTGTGTAGTTGGGATGCTGCTGTGAGTGAACCTTCACTGATTGGTTGTGCGTCAGGTTTGTAAAGAACTATGGCATTTTGCACAATTTTACTTAAACGTGTCTCATAACAGAAGTACACACATTTAACCAAATATGAATCCTGAAAGGGGGCTGCAAGGTGGCGCAGTTAATAGCACTGTTGTCTCATAGCAAGAAGGTCACCAGTTCGCATCCTGGTGGGGGCACTGGGATCTTTGTGCGTGGAGTTTGCATGTCTAGTGGGTTCTCTCCGGGTTCTCCGGCTTCCTCCCACACAGTCCAAAAACATGTTGAGGTTAATTGGTGATTCTAAATTGTCCGTAGGTGTGAATGTGAGTGTGCTTGGTTGTCTGTCTCTAAGTGTAGCCCTGTGATAGACTGGCGCCCCCCGCGACCCTAATGAGGATTAAGTGGTGTATAGATAATTGATGGATGGATGGATGAATTCTGAAAGCAGTTATTAACATTAAATATTTCTTCATTTCATCCAACCTCAGCTTTTCTGAACACAAAATCTGCACTACATCTATATCTGAAGCACTTTAAAGACAGTTAAATGAACAATTTGTTTTTGTCTTAGATGTGTCCCTTTTTTTTTTAAATATTTTGACCAAGAGACACACTAAACTTGATGACATTTACAGTTGATAAATTAACTTCTGCTCTCTGGTGGACAAACATGATGTAATTTCTTTACTACTTTTGAGTTTATTTGGCTTTCCTGCACTACAGTTTCTTTCTACTTCTCAGCCAACATGCACACTGATGTATCTGGACATTACGTTTATGTGGTTTAGTTTTATTTAAAAGGGATATTAACCAGTTAAAGTCAGACTTATGGTTGAATTGAGAGTTTAGTAGTTCAGTTGCAGATATCTATGAGGTTGATTCTGACTAGCAGCTCAGAGTCTCAAACATTAATCTGATAGAAATGTTGTCTTAATTATGCATCTTTTTTTTAATGTGCTTTTTGCCATCTTTACATTCGATGCTCTCTATCAGCATCATAGATGTGGGAGGAAACACAAGCAGCCAGAGTCTAATGTTACATTTTTAAGGCCTTGCATGTCAGAATTAGTGCTGCAATGATAACTGATAGTTGTCAACTCATTGATTAACCATCTCTGATTCCAGTTTCTTATACTTGAAGATTTTTTAATAATTTCCTTTCGTCCTCTATGACTGTAAACTGACTATCTTTCACTTGGGGACAAATCAAGACACACACATCATCAAGACAAATCAACATCTTCCAGCTTTGGAAAACACTGATGGATATTTTTTTTTACCATTTTATAGACCAAACAACCATTTAGATCATTGAGAAAACAATCAACAATGAAACGAAAACAGTCTAGGTCAGAATCTACAACTCTACTGGCACAGTGCAACCCATTAAAACAAAAATATAAACTCATCTTGATACCTTTTAGTTGGTTATTATGCAGCACTGTGTTTGTTCTTTATCATATTTAGTGTTTAGCATTGAAAGCTCCACCTGCACTCAAAGTCATGAGGAGAAACTGTAAATCTTTCTATGAAGATCTAACACTGACTTATAAGGAGGCCTCATGTTACATTTTAAAGGCCTTGCATGTCAGAATTGGAGCTGCGAATTATTATTTAATAGTTGACGAAGTGTCAACTATTAAATAAATCACAGACTATTTTGATAATTGAATACTGAGTTAAAATATTTCTTATGTATCAAAAAAAATTCTGTGATTCCTACTTCTCAAATCGGGATATTTTCTGGTTTCTTTGCTTCTTAAAGACAGCTCAGAAAACAATTAAACAAATGGCGAACAAACAATCGAAATATGCACACAACTCTATCAAGGGTAAAACACATTTAAACCCAGCGTTCTCCAACATCATTTGGGTTCAGCTAACTTCAAAGTCCCATCGATTGACTCGGTAGGGTGAATAAGCAAATGGACTCTCTATCAATTGAGGTCAAAACAAGACATTTGAGGATCATCTTGGCCTTTGATGTTTTCCACCATTTTATAGATTGAACAACTAATCAAATAATTGGGAAACAATTAACAGGCAATTGCTAGCTCTATTGAGAATCTACAACTGTGGCCTCCAATGGCATGGTGTGACCCTTAAACACAAAAAACAAATGAGTTTCGATACATTTTTTAGCTCATTAATATATATATTGTTTGTTTCTTATCATATAATACAGTGTTCGGCATTTAAAACTCCTCCTGCACTCAAAGCCATGAGGAGAAACTGCAAATCTTTCTGAGAACATCCAACATTTACTTAAGAGGCCTCTGTGTGTCTGGACAAGTGTGAGTGGAGAGGCATGCCAGGCATACAGGGAATGCCAGGGTGTCAGTGTGGGAAGCCTGCTGCATGCGCACACACAAACACTTTGCTACTCCTTCAGCGCTCACACAAAACCCCAGAAACCATCCTTAAGGCCAGCGAGAGGAAAAAGGGCAGAGCGTCCTTAGACAAACACATATGGCTTCTAAAAAACGAACCGGGGACTAATAGGGGATATGGGTGGAGGCTATTTGTCGTGAGGTGAAAAGACTAGTGTGGTCCAGGCTTTAGCCGGGGGAGTTTAGCCTTCACTGACCTCTGAGCTGGAACAAAAAAAGCCATGTTGATTAAGAGCGTCATTTTATTCAGGAGGCGAATCAAAAGAAACAAGCTTGTTAATATGGAAAACCAATTAAGAGGCAGAGTGCTTGAGAACCTCCGAGAGAGGCGGGGGGAAGCTGTGCAGACTCTACCAAAAGACTGCTATTGTTGAAATCAGTACCGAAACCACCAGTTTGGAGGTTTTGTGAGTAAATGGTAGAGTTTCAGCCGGGAATAACACACACACATGCATGACACACATGTGCGCTGAGCGTGTGTGAGGCCGAGGGGATGTTGGGAAGAATGGAGGGATGTCACGCTTTGTTTTTCTGCCTGTTGATTCTGAATGTGACCAATTAGTGAAGCAGAGAGACACAGTGTGGGAGTGGAGGAGGAGGAGAAGACGGGGGTTCAGTCTCTTTCACCGTGAGAGTCTGTGGCCGAGCTCTGAGTCAGAGCGGGATGAAAGAGGGAAAAAAAAAATGGGGCAGAGTACAACATAATGAACATAATGACAAACAAAAGAACTTTTCAGCCATTTGTGGTCGCTTTCCTGTGACCCCCCAACTCACTGCGACGACTCGACACTGAACCGCTGAAAGGCTGGAGAGTGTTTCTTTTTCTTATGATCTCTGCTAAAAAACGCGAAACTAAAAACATTTAAAATGAATTAAAACAGAGGTGGGTGGAGTATTAATCGCAGGCACGCATTTAGAGATACGACAGTTTGTAATTTGATAAGGAAATTTGCAGATTAAACAACACTGAGGTGTCCTGATATCAGAATATAATAGACAAGGCAGAGTTTTCACAATGCAAGATATAAATTCTTTCCACTGTATCCATTGTTTTCCTGGATCAGGACACTTGAAAGTGCTAAACCCTGTTTCAAATGAGCTGTTAGAGGGTATTACCCACTCTTATCACTGTTATGACATGGACAGTTGCCAAAGAAACAAAGGAGAGGTTGTGTTTACCATTAAGGATAAGGCCGGCATTATTCTATAGGTTGCTTTTTGTCAACAAATTCCATGAAAAGACCAAAACTAACAGTTGTGTTAGTCGTCTTTACTGCCCTGTTTGTTGCTCTCAGCTGCAACCACACTGGTTCAAAAGCACAAACACAGCTCATTTTAAACTGCTAGCATTTGTAGCATTTGTTGGGGACTAGTTTTAGTGGTGGATTAAGACACATTTGGTGCTTTCGCTAATTTCCCTGCAGCCTGAGTCAAAATGAACTGCAATGTGTGTGTTTTCGGTAATGAAAGGGCATGTAACCCTGTGCACTTGTGTGGCTCATTCATAGTTTTTAGACAACAGAGGTGCCTATGGCTGAGCTAGATACGTAAATTAGAAGAGCTACTGTCTACTACTGTCTATTTTCTCATGTTTCTAATGTTTTCTTACATGGAATAACAATGAGAGATCACTGTAACAAAACAAGGATTCTGGCCACTTATGCTAGCAAATGTCTTCAAATATGCAACGTAAGCTCTTCACTCTTACCAGTAAAGTGAATGAGGTTAAAGAGTCCATATTGTGCACATTTGCAGGTTTATATTTATATTTTTGGTGTCTACAAGAAAATGTTTGCGTGCTTTAATGTTTAATAAACACATTATTTTTCCTCATACTGTACACTGTTGCAGCAACTCTTCTCACCCTCTGTTTGAAATGTGAAAATGTAATTTAAATGTAATACAACGTAGATAAATAACGGAGAACGAGGCGTTTCAGGCAGGTAAGGAATTTTCTACGGGAAGGAATAACTCCCTTTAGTGTGGATTTTGGGTTTTGCAATTTTGCAGCCCTTTAACATGCACAAAAAAGCTATGCAATACACTAAGTTCAGTAGAAGACCGTACAAAATTTATACAGAGAAACCCAACAAAACTGAAGTTTCTTTTGGGGTGCCTTTGAGCAAGTACGTGGTGACAATAGGAAGAGAAACAAAGAAAGGGAAAACTGAAGACAGCACAATACCTGCCCTACGAAATGTGTATTAAACGGTTCTCCCGACAACATCTGCTACTATGAAGATGGCAGCACAACACCAGACATTGTTTGCCTTAACCTAGCCTTTCTCTTATATCAAACCATAAATCTTTACCCAAACTCCTCCTAATTAAAACAGATAATCTGAAGAAGTGGGAAGTGGCCTAGGCATGTGTGTCATAATGTGTGTGTACCTGCTGCAGATCAGCCATGGAGTACAGGTGAATGTGCTGTAGCAGGTATTCCCTGGGGAAAATCCTGTAAAGACACACAAGAAGGAAACACACAAGACGTTTACAGCATCATTCAAACAATCAGAAAAAAGATGCTGATGAAATGCTCCGAGGCTTCACCTTACATGAGAAAGAAAGACTGCAGGAGTGTCTTTTTAAATTCATCTTTTTCTAAATATAATGACAATTAAGAGAAACACTATTTGAACATTCACCATATTATCTTAATTCACAACATTGCATCTTCCAGCAGCAAGATAACATGTATTGTCTTTTATTGTCATTGTTTCTACACAAAATATTTAGTATAATAAAGATGAGAAAATACAATACTTCAGAGCCATGATGTAAACAGTTCAGAACATAAATGTCTATGAAAAAACAAACTGGTACAAACAAAGGTAAAGTGACAGAGATATTATATTGGTGCTCATCAGATAGATGATATATTACTATATAGTGTAATAAATGCTAATCAAGCACAATTTCACACATGAAAGCGAGTATTGTCTTCTTCATATGATGAACAAAAACTGCATTTAAGGTTCACAAGATTTTAGTTTTGCTGATATCCAGTATGCTGCTGGATACAACAACTTGTTTTAGCTGATTACCAATAAATAGCCATTTTCCCCCCCACTTAACTGCAAAGATCAAGTCTGTGTTTTAGTGGAATAACTGGAATATTTTGCCAGCTCTTATCATAAAGGCCCACTGGGGGAAAAAAAACAATGCTTTTTAATGCGCACGTTCACAAAATGAGAGACATGCCGCATTTGTCTTTATATAACATTATCAAAGAAAGCTGTTTTTTTTTTTCTCACTTGAGTGATACTGACTGTCAGCTTTGATTATTTGACCATATTTGAAATGTTCTTGCCTGTTACTTGTAAGAATTATAATTTTAAAAAAAACAAACAAAAAAACAAAACAAAACAAAACAAAAAAAAGCTTTTTTGTGTTGCACACATTTATATCTTATACCACCGCAAAAGCATCTTCTAGACAACACTGCTGAGATGTATATAAACTAATGTCCTTACCTAACTGAGCTGGGTGATTGACTGCCTACATGCAAACTGGAAGCCCAAACTGAATCCACGTTGAAGCCCAATCTGACTCCAAATAGCTTCTGTTGAGGCCAGTTTTCAAATAACAATCTTATTCATACGAGCATATATCTAAGAAAAAATGGTTACATGCTATTGGTACATTATGAGCATATTTAATGTTTCAACATCCAGCTTTTAATCTATGGTGCTAAACAAAGTAATAACATTCATCCAAGAAGCATAAGCTTACTAGTTTCTCAAAATATTATGATACAAAACACAGAATGGAGAGCTCTGATGAAATGTGTGCATCTTTCTTTTTTTTTTTTTAAACCTACTGTAGTGAGGACAGTGTGAACAAAACGTCAAAGGGATGTTGAGAGTAGAGTTAGGTTTAGTTTGGGGGGTGGTGTCCGGCATTGAGCTGTGATGAAGAAGGTTAGCGTAAGTGGCTAATGTGACCAAGATGGAAATACACGCTTGCGTGTGTCTGTGTGTGGCGAGGCCTCCTCTCTGACCACTAAGATGGATGGCACCATGTTAAACCCCATCTACAGCTGTGATGAGTGCCACTAGAACATGAGGATGTGTTTCCATGTGTGATGCAGACACCTCACGGTGATAGGCACCGCTGACAAACTACTCTGTTTGGTCCGTTACCAATGGTTACCACATCTGCATTCATGAGACGACAACACACACTGTCCTCTCTGACTGTGTAGAACACACCCTTAAAGTGTGTGCTGATCTTGACAAAAGCCCTTGAGAACTAACACATTTTAGGATTAGATTACAAACAGCAGAACCAGATTCATGAGTGTACGCAAACGCACACACAAGCCAAAGACTGACAATATTTGCACAAGACCTGATACCATGTTTTATTTCATCATACTCGAGTATATTTCCTCCGCAGGAGACACACCTTTAATTAAAATTCTGTTATCAACTCAGTGATTATGACTATGTACTCAGGGAGGGTCTAACCTGAGGAAGTGTGTAAAGATGTAGGAAGCTCTGAAAATGTGCGTAGGTGGTGCACAAACTATTACTTGACAATCTAATGCAAACCAAAAAAATGTTAAATCTTATCTTCCTCACACTTACAATGGCCATTTTGTGTTGACAAAGTGTCAGAGAAGTGCTGATACAATTTTTTGGAAGTTGTACTTCCTCACAACTACTACACAACCTCTTAATAAACACCAGCAACCATCAAAGACAGCCTAGAGGCACCTGACAAAACCCCAGCAAAGACCTATGAATACCAGCATAATCATTTTATTAGTACATTCCAAATCCATTTCAACAACCTAATAAGAAACTAACTAGCACTGCCACAACAAGTGCTCCTTATGTTTTTGAATTTGTAAAAAAAAAAAAGAAGAAAAAAGAAAGCCAAAATACAAAACAGAAGGCCCTGATTTATGTCAATAATTATATACACACACACCTTCCAAAAAGCAAGAATGTCATGCGGAAGACCCAAAATAAATAAATAAATAAATAAATAGGAACACACTTTTCTGTTGCAAAAAACTTGATGTTATTCTGTGAAGCAACCATCAGCTAACACCTTAGCAGCTACTGGTGATCACCCAAAATTTTGTGGTACCTTGGCAAACACCCGTAATCACCTAGCTCCAACCTACTAACACGTCAGCAACGGTTGATAATTCCTTAGCAACCACCAACAAACAAGCTATGAAAGCGACCTGCACATAACAGCCCAACATCCACATGTAAATCAGATAGCCGTCATTTGAGCCAATGGCACGGTGTGCTTACGAAATACAGACTTCTGTCTGAAATCAAGGACCCATTGTTTCAAGTGTCTGCCACAGTTAATACAGACATTTTGAACTGTGCTAGGACAAACGTTTAACAGGGGTTTGCCAAAAGGCCAGTTCATTTGATTAAGCCCTTTAGCAAACAACATTATCAGTCATGTATAAACAGACTCTTTGTTGTCAAAGTATGTGCCATGTGTATGAATTTTTTGTTTTTACACTATATATAATACGTCATTACGTCGATTCTTTATGCAGGATACATTGTAAAAGAAAATATCACTCTTTTCCACAAACACCTCTTAGTTTAACCATCTGTCCATCAGTCCATCAGTAAATCAGTCCATCAGTTTCTGGGCATTTTTTTGTTCCCGTCACATTTCTACTCACTGTGGGCTCATTTTTCTCCATAAAATAAAGTCCTGCAACATCTATCAAAACAGCTTAAGAGTGGCTAGAAGTACACAGAACTAAAAAATGGCTTCTACGCAATACAAAGTAATACTCGTAGTAGTACACAGCCTGCAATTCAGCCGAAAGGTCCTTGAGTTTTCGACGGTGGAGTTGGTCGCAGATGAATCACTGATAGCTAATAATTCAGTGTAATTCTCAGGTTTTACAGAATCTGGTGGTGCACACTGTATTTTGTAATTTTTTTTCAATGAAACATGCATAATAATGTAATATTCATTAAATATTGTGATTTTTTGCTTTGATTTGGTTCATTTTATTGATGGAACAACATGCCATGAATCAGTAGTTCAGGGACCATTAGAAAATTGAAAATCCAAGGACTTTTCCAGTTTCTGTCTCTCATAAATGGCAGAATGTGGGAGATTTTTTAAAAGATGCTATCATACTAAAACCCACTGGAAGGTTTTGGTACTATGTATGAATGCACTGTCCCTGATAAATAAATAAACAAACAAACAAATAAAAACCTTATTAAGTCTCACCTTCACTGAATTCTCTGAGGTAAAACAACAGCTTTTCCTCTGTTGCTATTGCAGATGTAAACCTCCAATCGCATCTCAGAACTGCTGCATGGAGTCGCAAATACAGTCGCCTCTAGCTTACAGGCTTTAGTGCCTCATGTGGCTGCGATTGTGTGTTCACGGCACTTTGTCTGTGTACGCAACAGGCATCTCTCTTCAGATCTCCCCCCCCGAAGGAGACTGATGACTACGGGAAGGTTTTAGCGCCACGGCCCTCATCAATCCTGCAGTGTTTGGAAGTGGCGGGGCACCGGCCGGCACTAGCTAATGGGACAGAAGTAAACACAGAGCGCCATGATGCTGCTCTGCTTTGCAACAGGGTACGACAAATGTATTTTGTTTTTCTTTAAAGGCTGATAGAAATACCAGTAGTTTATGGACTGGGCTTGTTAGAAAGTGACTTACATGAATGTTACAGCGACATTACATTATTGTTGCCCTTCAGAATCTCCTATCAGTAAAAAAAATCTACTAGGAACTTTGACAATACATTCACTAGAAATACTTCTGCTCTCTAGTCCACTCACAGTGGCCATATATTGGTAAAATATTCTGTCACAATAAAAATAAATCTAAATTGTTCAACGTGATACGGCAGATTTCTCGTTAAATAAAACTGAGAAACTGTTTACAGGTTGAATAATCACTTCAATCTATTTTCAAACAAATCACTAATAAACTAATAATAACAATGGAAGAATCGTTTAGAAGTTTAAAAGCTACAAGAAAATCAACAATACCGAGGTGATTTCGCTAAGCTGCTTGTTTTGTCAGTACAACAATCGATAACCTAAACGTATTCAGTATACTGTGACAAAAGCCTCATATATTAGTAAATGTTCGCATTTTAGAGGCTAAAATCACAGTGAAACAGTTAATCAGCAATCCAAACTGATACGCATTACTTAATCACATAAATACTGCGGGCCTACGTGCAATGCAAAGAAGGAAATATAGTTCTTACAGAAAATACTTGTAAAAAAAAAAACCAAAACATTAAATATGACAAAGAACAAATTAAATTCAAGTCTGTCTGCTGACTCTCCTGCAGAAATGCTCTGTCGGATCAGAGTGTATTAGTGACCTGAACCGTGGCAAGAAGCATCCATCAGCTCTCAGACAAGGCTTTCAGTGTGGGACCCCACTCAGATAAACAGTCATCCCCTCTGACCATCACACATCAACACACACACACACACACACACACACACACACACACACACACACACACATCTTTTATGTGTAAGCAGCATGTATATATATATATATAGATATAGACATATATATACACACACAGGAATGCATGTAGATAAAAGTTATGGGAACATATACACATGAACTCAGACACACACATGTAAACACACACACACACACACACACACACACACACAGATCATACAAAGAGATGTGTACAGTTTGTAATATAACAAATATTTAAGAGCATCGGTCAGTGTGAGTCTCACGACACAGGCTGCTAATGTTAAACATGAAAATTAATGCTTTATTTAAAAAAAATATATCTCTACAAATTCAGCTGCACTCAAATTGTAACAAAGAACCACCTGATTCAAATTAGGAGAGTTTGCTGCTGAATAACTCCCTGTTTACTGTTTGTAGAACCCTAAAGGTTCACTGACCAACAATAACTACTCTGAAAAAACAAGCCTGATATGTGGTATCTCACAGGCCTCTGCCAATTCCTTTTAGTCTGTATATCCTTATTTTGGCAATGGAACATTATTTTCCATATTTATGCAGACAACACACAGTTATATATATATATCTCTAAAAGCTCTTGAACTACTTGACTAAATGTATTTCTGACCAAAGTTAATGAATGCCGTTATATTGCTAAACTAAAAAAGAACTGTCTGACCACCTCAAATAATTTGCGTTTAACACAAAAGGAATGGTAAAAAGTGGTGACATTATCATTGAATCTGACCTAAACTTTAAAATAAACATTACTATATGTGAATGTCCTTCAGTCATTTAAGAATTATTACCAGTCTGACCATTTCTCTCCTTGGCAGAAACAATAAAGTCATAAACGCTTTTATCTCAAGCAGGTTGGACTATTACAACCTGTCTAGTGTGTGTAACGTAGAAAGCTAGTGGACAGTTACAGCTCATACAGAATGAGGGAGCACTTGTTCTGATGGAAAGTAAACAGAGAGCAAACATTACTCTTATCTTAAAATCTTTACATTAGTTATACAACAGTGAAATATCTTCTTTTTTTTTTTAACCATTATTTTATTGTTTGTTTGTTTCTATCACTAATTTGGCTTTGCCCCACCTTATCTGTCTGACCAGGTTAAGACAGCTCAAACTTGGTGGTTGTATCTGAGGTTAGAACTAAGGCTGCATGTTTTTAACCATGTGTTTGCATGAACAACTGGGTGCATCATGAACAAATACATTCTTATAATCGGGCTAATTACCAACTCAAACCAAATTATGCTCAAGTGTACATTTAAGCAAGTCATTTTTACTATGTGTTTACATATATCTAATATAGTATAGCTATCCTGAAATATACAACAGTCGAAGCTAAAATATAAAAATGGCAGATATTTAGAAGAAAGTGGAAAAACCTACTAATAAACTGTACTGATGTTATATATAAACATGAGAAAAGGCTATATGAGTCAGTTAGATCTTGTGGCTCCTGAAATAGATCAGTGTGTGAATTCTGAAAAGAAGCTTTGATAGAAATGTTCGGTGACTCGTCCATGCATGACTGCATTTGTAAAAGCCATTCTGATGTCCTCAACATAAAACACCCTCAACATAAATCACAGGATTGTACAGAAAACAAAGACTGTATGAGGCTTGAATGTAAACAAAAGCCTGCAAAGATGATCACACACAATGTGGCGATGCAGCTCATGACAGGAGGTGAGAACCGGGTTATGATCCTACTTTGGAGAGACCTGTGAAGCATTTTGGGCAGGTAAAGAGTCCTTTGTTAGGTGAAGCTGCTTGTGACAACTTCACTTGACTTCGAAGTTAGCTTGGTTTGTTGATGGTCACTCTGTGTATAATAAATCTACAAGTGGACTGAAGATCACAGACTCTGCTCCATTTCTTCCGTTTTTCAGAAGTGTTTTGATTATTTGGAGTAATTCAGGATGTGTGGTGTCAGACTAGAAATTCAACCCATAAACAATGTTTTATTTTCAGGCACCACAAGCCACAACAGGTTGAGAACAGTGGTCTAACTTTCTTTTGTGAAGTGCTACAGAAACCTTAAAGTCAGCATACCTTCGCCTGAGGTCCTCAGCAACGGTTGCCCGGCAGCTGAACAGGTAGGCCCGCAGTGACTGGAGCTGCTGACGGAGGCGCAGCACCGTGCTGAGAGCCTCACAGTGTTCGTACAGACAAGGGTTGAGCTGCTGGATGTCCAGCAGTGGCTCCTCATACACAAACTCTAGGAACTCCTTGGCTTGTTTAGACACCTGGAGGAGAACCACCGATTCATAAGTGGATAATACCCAAAAAACTGCACTTTATATGCTTGTAATGGATGACATAGGCCTATAAATCTGTACAAAAACCAACAGTTTTTTTTTTTTACATTTGACCATAAAATTACATTATTTCAATGTATTTAAATTAGAAAAAAATATTATGTTACAGATGTGTGTTATTGTAAAGAACATTTTACAGGATTCCTTTGTTTTGTTAAATTATAGACATCTAGTAAAATCACAGAAAAAAATATTTAAGGAGAAAAAAAACTGCAGTTTTACTGAATTTATCAGCATAAGAAAATCTCTATTTTACAGAAATTTTTTTATTTATATACAATGTTACATTTCCTTTCATTGTTTGTGGTGGTTATGCTGCCTTATTTTCACAGATTTTTCAAAGATTGTTTACATTATTATTAGTCTATTGATCTTCTCTTAGGAAGACAGAGAATTTCTAGGAAAACTTGCACTTTCCTGAAAAGCAGTAGACTGGTAATGGGGTCCTAATGTTTATCTGCATGCATAACAGTCAAAAGCATTACAAGGCCTTTTAAGGCCCAAAGACACTCTGATTTTGCTTCAGCCTCTCAGAAAGAGCAAGTGCACACTTTCAAATTATTTGTGCAGTCGCTTCCCCACCTTGTGCTTGTTGGTGTCCCAGTTGTGCAGGAGGCGTGCTGGGATGAGGAAAGAGTTGTCCTGATGGCAGCTCTGGCAGTAGTACCAGCCGCTGTAGTAACACACCTTTGCCTTTCCTCTGGAGAGACCAACTGGACGCTGACAACCTGACGAGAAAGTCGTTGGGTTAGCATGCATGTGTGCTTACATCTAGTTGATAAACATATACATGTTACAATATGATAGTCAAGTGTGTCTACATGTTTTTCTTATCACGAGGAAACCTGTGAAAGTGTCAAAAGTGTGATTTAAACCAGCTTGACAATCTTCTTAATCTTAATGTAGTCACTATGCGGTATCTCAGACTTGCATATCATCAAAGTACGGTTTCAGCGAGGAGATCCATATCTGGATATGTTCATCATCACGACTAATTAGCCCCGAAGTGTTGCACAAGTCAGCTCTTGGTGTTGCCGACAAAGACGAGCGCCGATCAGGAGAACACAAAGGTTGTGGAGCGATTAACTTGGTGTTAATATGTGTCAGTTTATTGCCCCTCACTAAGTGCCACACTAATCCAGCCGAGTAAACCTGCAGATAATATACAAGACAGTCTAAGTTTAAAAGGTGCTCTCACTGCAGTGAAGTAATCCATTGTATCATGACCCAGATATAAAAAAAAATAAATAAATCCATTTCACTGATTAATACACACCAGCTTTATAAAATTGTGTTTAATCAGAATTCCACATTTCAACATCACATTATAGCCCAACTATGTTTTCATGATAATGAGCCACCTAAAAAACCAACTGTAAGCTCCAGTAAAACTAAAGTAAGTGACAGCGAAATGACCAAGTGTTTTTTTGTTTTTTTTTTATCTTGATGAACACTTGAACTTTCATTTTCAGTATCGTGTTTACTTCGGTTGCATACTCATGTACCGGGGACAATGTGCAATTATAACATACTACAACACAAACATAACAGCTATTAAAGTAAATGAAACTTAACGCTTCAAATGAAGCGCTAATCAAACAGGTAACCTAAATTGCATTAGTCATTCACAACCACTTCATGCAGTGACTAACCAGGGGTGTGGAGCTATAATTCTTTTGTTTTTTGTCATTCTTTACCAAACTGTTCCTGTGACATTTTGGGTAAGCACGAAAGCGAACACTCTGAATGTCCTCCAGAAGTGACTGCCTGAAACTGTCACTACTGTTACTTCCATATTTAAATTCTCTGTCTGGCAATTAATTAAACCCCTAAAACCTCATCTTTGTGCACCAAAGTTACAGAAAATAATCTGTTCATGCCTTGAACTGGCTTAGATTCCTTTGCAGATCTATAAAGTCCCAGCCTAACTCTTCTCTCCAATTGCCATTCAGTGGTAAATTGTACTGTTTGTGTGATTCAGCCACACATGGTTAAACTGGGCACAGCTTCAAAAAAAAAAAAAAAAACCACACACACAAAAACCGTCCTTGCAAGTTGGTTTGTGACGTTTGAAAACCCAGAAGTCTGAATCCATGTTTTTGAGGCACGGATGAGTATGCTGCAGTTTTTGCACAAAAATACACATCCATGGCATTTATTTCACTCATGATATGCTTTTAAGCATGCAAAAAAACACCATATGTACATGTTAAAGTAAATTAGGAAAGAGTCTTTAAATGACCGCCCTGTCAGCTTTTACTTTGGGCTTCCACTTTAGCTGAAGAGAACAACTATGAACACATTAATGAAAGTTTCACTACAGCAATATTAATGAAAAAGTCCAGGTTCTCCGGCTTCCTCCCACAGTCCAAAAACATGGTGAGGTTAATTGATTATTCTAAACTGTCCGTGGGTGTGAATGTGAGTGTGCTTTTCTGTCTCTAAGTGTTGCCCTGTGATAGACTGGTGACCTGAGTCAGCTGGAATAGGCTCCAGCCCCCCTGCAACCCAAGTAAGAATTAAGCGGTGAATAGATGATGGATGCATTGAGGAGTTGTGAAAGTGCATCTCAGTTTGTATGTGTGCATCCAGATTTGTGAATGTGTGTAGAAATCTGCACACACTTACTTTTCAACATGGTTTCATGTCATACAGAACTAGTTCTCTTCAAGCATATTTAATTAAAACTAAAACTAAAGTATTTTTGATCATGTCCTTTTTGTTAAATGATCTATAAGTATCTATTCAAAAAAAAGTAAACGTGGTATTGAGAATGCAGTGATATAACTTTATTAACTGATCTGATTTTACTGTGTTTGCTCCATCCTTGTAACCTCTGAAGCCATATCTGCATCCTTCAGTAAGATGTCTCAAACTGTGTGTAATATTCTGGTGACGGTTCATGTTTACTGCATTTTCTACCCAAGTCTGCCTAAATATACCTGCCTAATTCATTTGAAGTAATTCCGAGATAACAGAGTCTTGTAGTCACAACACAGCAGACTTTAATAAGAAAGAGCTTTGCAGACCTAAAAGACCAACAGATCCTCTGCTCTATTCAGCCTGATCGCTTCCCCACTCTGCTTTGTCTTCCAGGCTCTCTAAAGTTCATTCTTCACCCAAACACCCGCCCCTGCTCTGTGATCACACACACCCAAACAGTTGGGAGCTGCAGCGCTGCAACAGGTGTCCCTTATCCACAATATCTCAGAGGACATGGGGCCTGGATGAAAACAGCAAATGAAGAGAGGTCTAGAAGAAAAGAAACTCCAGATTGTTATCTAGGTTTTGGGAAAACAGGCTTAGAAAGCCACCAAAAGGTAGAAATGACAGTGGAAGAAGGGCGTGTTTAAGCATGTTTGTCGGTATCGCTTCAACACAAGAAACAACACAGACTGAAGAAGGAAAAATAGAGAAAAAAAAGGCAGAATAAGTAAAAAAAGCTATTGAGAGATGGGAGGAAAGAAGGAACTGCATGAAAAGGCCACAAAGAGTGAGATCAAACAGGAACAGATGAAGGCAGACAATAAAGAGAAGTTAGGCCAACTTTTTCAACAATCTGCCATCACAGACAATAGTATAATCAGCATTCAGAGGTAAATTCCTTCTTTATCTGACTAAAAGAAAAAAAAAATATTTATGTTGGAGCTTCACTAAGGGACACAGACTGAATGGGAGACTGGTCTAGGGCTGTTACTGAAAACCAATTAAATAATCAGGTCATCTGTTATTTAGTTTTAGATCATTCGTGAGAACTGCAAGGTTGAGCAAAAACGGTGATGTCTTTAAATTATAAAAGCGGTAATCCGAAACTACACTGATATTGCAGTTTTTTTACAGCTTCTTTTGCCCTTCAGTTTATTGGTTTTGATGAATCAGCGGAGCTTCACACAAATATACAGCACAGTACAGAGACGCCAAATATATGTTTGAGGTCATGCAAAAACAGTTTCGCGTTTCACTGTCACATTATATAGTTTATTCACCACAGGGAAGTTTATTTTTCAACTGTAAAATTTCTGGTTTGAGCTGACACTGACTATTTTCAGCTGGTACAAATAAGCATTGTATGTATCTTAATTTAAAATAAACCCTTTATCTCCTGGCCTCTATCAAATACGGGTCATTTAAAAACTGTATCGATAATTATACTTTATATTAAATTAAGTAAAAACGATATACAGTCGTCCCATTAAAGAAGGAAAAAACAGCTGTCACTGAAAAAGGTTGAAATTGACAAAAGTAACAATAAACACAAAATTTCATGAAAATCATGACATTGCTTTTGAATTGTGGTTCAACAGAAATATTAATTAAAAAAGGAAAAAAAAAAACAAGCAAACAAGCATGATGGGATCCGTAAACTAATAATTTGTTGAACAACCCTTTGAGCCAATCACTGCAATCAAGTGTTTTCTGTGACTCTCAGTCAGACTTCTGCACCTGTTGACAGGTATTTTGATTTTGGCCCACTGCTCATCAGCAAAGTGCTCTAATTTGTCAGAGACAGTTTTGTTTGTTTTTTCAAATCATTCTTCTTAACCACAATTCAAAAGCCATGTCCTATTTCACTAAATTAGAATTTAGCAAATATTTATTATGACTTTTTCAGTTTCTAGCTATTTGAGCGACTATTGTGAATTTTGCCTTTTCTATAATGGAAGGGTATGAATACATTTGAGGACAACTGTATGGTGATGGACTTTTTAATCATCCAGGCTTACCCCAAGGTTCTCTTTCTGCATTAGTCTAGTTAAAATAAAAAAATCTATCGCTGCATATTTGTCGACATTTACGCTGATATGCGGATATGTGTGTGTGTGAAATGTTTCTGTGACAGGTTAATATCGGCCAATTAAATCCACCGACCGTTATTGCAACCCTTTTCTAATAAGGTTGACGTTAACACTGGAACCTGTCAGTCATGTGGAATTTCCTTTCACCTGTCACATTGCTGCTTTAAGAAGATACAGGCTGTATATACTCCACTTAATCTTCTATTGGCACAGACAGTTACAGTAACTTTTTGAAGGCAGCTTTAGTTAGGTGGCCTTTTAACTTTTAACCTTTAACTAAAGTTTTCTTAAGAATGTGGGTAAAATGCACAAACCGCATTTAGACCGGTCACACATCTGATCATGAAATGAGTCAAACCACCTCCAGATGTGATCCAGCTGTTCTGATGCTTTCTGCTATTTCCCTAAAAAAACAAAACATAAGAGCTGTGACCCAAACAGTAATCTATAAATTATCAGGATCCATTTTCACCACTTTCCCAACTTTAAACAATGGATATTTGTTTTTCCTTTGGTTGAAACGACGGCTTGTGGCTACGAAGCAAGGGGAAAAAAAAGACAACAAAGTCTTATCTTACTGAAGGAGCCATGATCGAATGCATATGTGTAACTCAGATCTAGGTAGGCTAATTACAGCAGTGAGCTCATGCTGTTGTTGGGGTGGATGCTCATTCAAAAAAACCGCAGTCCACTGGTTGGGAGCCAGCAGGCTGAGGGGATGGTCAACAGTCAGAGAAACACTGTGTCACTTCGAGGAAACAGCTGACCACCAGACCGGCTTTCAGGCCAACTGTGGCTTCAAATTTGGTCTGCTGCTGTTGGGACCAGAGGAACAAAGGCACATACGTTCACAGCCTGAAAACATTTGCAAACGGAATAACAACCTTTAACCTTAACCTCAAATTCTATATCACGAGCACAAGAGGAGAACA